ATATATATATATATATATATATATATATATATATATATATATATATATATATATATACATACATACACACACACACACACACACACACACACACACACACACACACACTATCTCAAATATCTCTCGCGAATGCCAATTTCGCCTGCTGTTGTCACGTAAATCCACTAGAGGCCACTGTCCAAAGACCGACCAACCCCCTCCTCTTTCCCTATACTCAACCAATAGTGTTTTAAAAATCACCGATTAACTCACCCACCCCCTTCCCTAAACCTAACCACAGTGTTTTGAAAAAAAATCCAGAAAAATAAAAGTCCTTGCCTGATTTTTACCACATTTTCCAGTTTTCCCATATTCTCGCCCTGTTATTTACTTGTTTATTTTAGCTTTTGGGTTTTGTTTTTGTCCTATCCACTTTCTGGAACCATTTTTCACCCGACTCGAACCCTGTTGTCGCAGTCACCTCCGCTCCGCATCTCACGTCCGCCAACATACATGTCGAGTTAACTGGACGAACTGGTAACAGTGGGAAAGCCGTCCACATGCAAGCAGGGACGGATTAAACCAATGAGCAAGGTAAGCAGCCACTTAGGGCTAAAAGTATAAACTAGACTTTTAACTATATATAACATCGTTTTCTAACCTATTTTGTAAGGTGAGAGTAAAACAAATACAATTTTAACGTAATTAAAAATTATTTTGTATAAATTAAAATATAATTTTATTATAATAATGTAATGTTATGTAATAATAATATTATAACAAAATATAAAATCCATCATGGAGCAGTCCAGCAGACAAATTTATAAAAATATATATGTTTTTATTTTTAGTTTTATTTTTAGCATTTTAAGAAAGCTTATTACTTAAAATAGAGATTGCGACATGTCTATATTATAGGTATGTGCTGTGATGAAGAAAATATATATTTAGTTTTATGTGCCTTTCCAGAGACTATGTGACTAATTGGTTGCCAATATTGGTACTTATAGATGGTATGATGTTTCCCTTTTTACTCCTTACCTCCACCTGTTGGCTTATTTTTAAGGATTACTATAATTTCTACAACTCATTGCACATTTTTGTAAAACTTGCCTTTGACCATGTCTGTAAATGCACATTGTACAATAATTTTAATAACCATAAATAAACATGTTACAAGAAAAAAATTGAGATTGCATTAATTTAAGAGTGATATAAAAACACAGCAAAATAAATAAAAAATAAATAAAAGTAGAAAGGGTGCATATAAGGACATGGGCTCTCTTGTTGTGATTGCCAGTGGAGTTATCAGTGGGGTTTCCTATATGGGAGATTACCGCTGAACAAACTCCACCTCCCAGAAACCCCTGCGCTCATCAACTCCTGCAACAGCTGACAATAATCCGGACACTTGCACAGAGATACAGCTGCTGCTCATCTACAATGATTACAAGGAGTTAAATAAACCTCACATTCATTCACACATTGCCGAGTCTTGTTTACATTCTGTTACATAACAACACATTTTCTTTGTCTTGTTTTGCCGTGTTTTGACCCTCGCCTTATTGGTCTGTTTATCCCTGTCTGCTGCCTGCCTTCTGATCATCTGCCTGTGTTTCTGACTACGACTCTGAATAACCTGTATATATCTGTTTACTCCTGTGTTGACTATTGCTTACCTGACCTCTGTAATAAACCTGCATTTGGATCCACAAGTCTGCTCTCAGCGTCTGCCTTACAACAGAAGACTTGTCAACAATGTGTGTGACTAAATGAATGTGAGATGTATTTACAATCCTTGTAATCAGTGTAGATGAGCAGCAGCTGTATCTCTGTGCAAGTGTCCGGATTATTGTCAGCTGTTGCAGGAGTTGATGAGCGCAGGGGTTTCTGGGAGTTGGAGTTCATTCAACGGTAATCTCCCATATAGGAAACCCCACTTAACATAGCTCCACTGGCAATCCCAACACCCATGACTGGAATTGCAGGTTAGCGGTTAGCTGATAAGCGAGAAAAGGAACGACATCATACAACCCCATAACGTATGTTTTAAAGACGAAAAGCAGCCAATATGTTCCTCTGGCTACATAATTCGCGATCTCCAGAAATGTGTATAGGGCTACATTTCCAGAATGAGCCTATGTTGCCTAACTCACACCTGCTTCATAGTCACACCCCACTTACACCTGCTGCCCATGTTTGATTAGGGTTGGAGCAAAACTATACAGAGCTGCAGCATAGAGTTTGAGACATATGTGTTAAAGCAAAGCTTGAGTTCTCTGTAATTACGATGATTCTACACCCGTTTCTTTGGTTGGAGCATGTAAGGCAGGGGTGCCCAATATCAGTCCTAAGGACCAGTGTCCTGCAGATTTTAGCCAACCCAGGCTCATTGTGGAAACGTAGTCCCGCGGATGTTTCTGGAGACTGCGGAATATGTCCTGGGAGGTACGTACGGCAGCAGTTTTTGTTTTTGCGAATCCGCGAGAGGCCGCTGTTGTGCGCTGTTCTCGCGTGAACCCACCAGAGGCCGATGTCCGACTGACCGGATGATTGACTCCACGACCGGCCAATCGGCAGACCCGCCCTCCTCCTTCCCTGAAGCCAACCAATTTTACCGATTGACCCGCCCGCCCGCTCACTTCCCTAAGCCCGAGCAACAGTTTACAAAAGCCGTCCAAAAAAAGAAAAGCCCTGATTTTTTTTTCTACCATGTTTTCGGATTTCACCGCGTTCTCACCCTGTTACGAAACTCGTTCACTTAATTTTTGGGATTCTGTTTTTGTCTTACCTGATTGCTGGAACCGCTCTTCCCCGGACTCAAAACCGATCGCCGTGGTCAACTCCTCTCTGCATCTCAAGCCTGCCGATGTACACGGTGAGCTGAGAGGACAAACGGGTTGCAGTGGGAAAGCCCTCCACAAGGAGGTAAGCGGTCGGCCGGCCGGCCGGCAAGCGTGAATGGGAACAGCGTCGCACCGCCCCGTAGCGTTCGCTTGAAAAAAATTAATGCAGCCGTACGTACCTCCCGGGACGTATTCCGCCGTCTTCAGAAACGTCCGAGGGGCAACGTTTTCAGAATGAGCTTGGGTTGATTTTAGCGCCAACTTCCCTCAACACACCTGCGAGTTGGAGCTAAAGTCACCAGGACACCGGCCCTCCAGGACCGACTTTGGACACTCCTGGTTTAGTTGGTCTTTAAATGTAACACTTAAGTGCGAAAGACGCTATTGACTGGCATATTTTTAAAAGTTTTTGGATCAAACATCCTTTAGCTTAGTCCCTTATTTATTAGGGGTTGCCCAGCAAAATAAACCTCCAACTATTCCATATGTTTTACGCAGTGGATGCCCTTCCAGCTGCAACCCAGTTCTGGAAAACACCCATACACTCTCACATGTACATACACCCTCATACACTTCAAATAATTTAGTTCATTCAATTCACCTATAGCGCATGTGTTTGAACTGTGGGGGAAACCTGAGCACCCGGAGGAAACCCACATAAACACAGCGAGAACATGCAAACTCCACACAGAAATGTCAACTGGCCCAGCTGGGACTCAAACCAGCGACCTTCTTGCTGTGCGGTAAGCGTGCAAACCACTGAGCTTGATGATAATTGTATTGTTATTATTTTTTTCTTATTTATTTTATATATTTGTATATTATTTTATGTAAAAATGAATGTATGCTATATATTTCTTATATATGAAGTATTCGCATGCAAAAACCACTAAATTCCATCTGAAATTTTCCTCTAAAATTAGCATTTTTCTCAGACTCCTATATCTTGATTGAGTAATTTCCCTTTTAAGGCAAATAATATAGGTTATTTTTAGCAATTTTAACAAAAAATAACTGAACATAAACATAAGAGGCAGAGAAATATGCTCACTGAAGAAGAAAATTCTAGATGGCACTCGGATCTTTTGCATCTTCATATGTTATATAGATTTTATCAATATAATTTAATAGATTGCTTTATTGATTCTTTAAGTATAACATTACATAGCTATAATGTAATAACAATTGCAAACAAAAAATAAAATAATACATTTAATTATATACTAATCTGTTATTAACTTGACATTAAACAATATTAGAATAGAACAGTCCACTAATAATTCAAATTTTTCCAAACCTTTATTTTAGATTTCTTTTTAAAATGTATTTCTAAAATAAAATTAACAATACATTAATAATAATAAAAAGAAATATTAAAACAGATATCAAATATATTAAACATTTTCATATTTATATTAATAGGTAAAATTTTATATTAAGAATTGGGTAGGTTTAAGTGTCTTTAGGGTGTGTGTGTGAATGGGTGTGTATGGATGTTTCCCAGTAATGGGTTGCAGCTGGAAGGGCATCCGCTGTGTATAATAAATGCTGAATAAGTTGGCGGTTCATTCCATAATTCTGATTAATAAAGGGACTGAGCCGAAAAGAAAATAAATGAATTAATTAAATTTAAAATCATTGTGTTTTAACAATTATTGTTTGTAATTTTTTTATCTGTTTCAAATATTATTGAAGCCAAACCAAACAGTATATTTATTTATTGATTCATTTAATGAGTTTAGATGACATTTTATTATCCATTAAATAGTTGATGATAGGCCACTCATAATATTTAATAAGTTGTATATTTATGTTTCTCGGCTAGGCTATGTGAATTTCACTAAATGCCTGCGACTCTTGGGGCCACAGCCTCTAGACTGCTGTCCCTGTCAAATATGAGGCAAGGTGGGTTAAATGAAGAGAAGCTCTGAGCTCCAGCCCACACAGCCGAAATTGAGGTATTTTTAGATTTAGCGGAGGGTGCAAACGTCCAGCTTCATTGTCAGATCAAAGCCGCCACTTATGGCACTCTTGGCAGAACACTGATGTAGCCTATTTTGAGGCAAGCATGATGACAAATATTATATTTACGCCCTTGGTCTAAATATTTACCTATTTTCAGTTCCCCCCACACACGACTCGTCACCGCCCGCTCATTCACGATCCTCCCATTTTAGTAGCAGGAGTCCGACGACACTCCGGAACATCCCGTGAGTCGCGAAGGTAGGATTATGCTGCACGACGCGTCGTTTTATGAATAGGAGCTTCTGTTCATTCACACACTTGTAGCTAAGATGTCAGGGCGACAAAATGGCCAGGGTTCTGCTTATTTCTTGAGTTTTGATCAAATGTAAACAACACTGAGGTTGCTGTAGAGAAAACACTGCGTAAAGCTTGACGCGATGTTTAACTCTGAATTTCAGCACCACGGACAGCGACGCACGAATCACATATTTATTTTGCCCAACTGCTATTGCTCATTAAACCAGATTTATTTGTGTATTCAAATAAATGAGTGGGCTACCACTAGAAAAAAAAAGTGAAGTGCTATTTTGGGAAGGGTTTAAAAGCAGTTTTACGTGAACCTGCCACTAGTTTTAGCACCTCTTGAATGGAGTTTGGCGACACCGTGAGGCAGCACGCGCTATTTTTGCCCCTAATATTTCTACCGCACTGGTCGAATTAGTGTACTTTGTGTTCTGCACGTCCACTTTTAGTGACAAAAATTTGACAGTTTTTAAAATAACCCCTTTCCCTGACCTTTCTAACATGAAAGCTGCAATTACACCTCGTCGAACGAACCAGGCAACCCCTGCAACTTTTTCAGATGATGCGCTTAAGCAGTGCAAGAAACCCTACATGTGCAAACCATCTAACGGGGCAACAGAGCTCATAAATAGGCGAGTGGTGCACGCGTCTGCCACGGCATCCATTGGCGAATGAGTTTTTCCACGATGCCTGGCGACCGCAAGGAGTGGTTTCGCTCTCGGCAACCGGGGCTGTGGTCACTTGCAATCGTCTTTCACCTGTTTAGCCCGTTTATTTTCTCTGTTTTCTTTGCTTGCTTCGAGCCATTTTCATTAGCGGGAGGCTGTCTGCGAGCACAACAGGGACGGTTGTAATCAGCAGCCATAGACTGTGAAGTGGGAGAACCTAAACGTGACGTCAATGCCTAGTAACTGACGCAGCCCTCAAAAAGAGAGATTCTGCAAGCTTTAATTATCATCGTTTGTGTGCTGCTCTAAAGACAAAACATATTCCGATTAGGGTTGTTTGTGCGCGCGAGTCCGTGGATGTGCCTCTGAGTGTGTGTGTGTGTGAGCGAGTGCGTGCGTGCGTGTGTTTTCGTCTTTATGAGCAGCGAGTTTCCAAGCGAAAGTTGCATGGAGACACACCGCGTATAATAAAGAGGACGGTGAGCGACATAAAGGGACGAGGAGAGCGGGGACAACTTGCCATGAGAAACAGAAATATTTAGCCCGTGTGAGAGAGGGGCACTGAAGCAGTTCTTTGAAAGAAAAAAAAATCACTGCAGCGATGCATCGGAGGCGAGTCGGAACCCTTGCATGGAGTTGGAAAGGCAAAATTAATGTACATTACATGCACTCCACGTAACGCTCCTGAGCGATGTCTTTGTGAGTGTGTTTTTTTCTTACTGGGCGCTAAAAATAGCATCAGTGTTTGATCGTGGTCCAGAAATAGGCAGAGGGTATCACTTGTATAAAAAGGCTGTGCGATTCTGGGGAAACGTGGACGTGTTGCTGAGGATAGATTTGAAGGGCAGTGTTTGATTTTTCATCTGGCTTGTTGTTTTTGTGTGACTTGGTCACGTATGATGCTTGTATACTCATGTCTGTGTTTCCCCTGCTTTCAGCCAGGGCTTGCTGCACTGGTAAGTACACAATCATTGCGTCTTTTGGTTCGATTTCATGTTTGTTTGGTTTTTGCACGGTTTGTTGCATGCACGTAACGTGCCATTCCCTCCATCAAAACAGAATGCAACCATTTGTGCACTTCTCAAACAGGTGCCTTGTTGCTGTTCAACATAAAAATAAACCACTCTCTCCTCAGAGCAGGAATCTCGCGTATGGTAAATAAGTCAAGCAAAAGGCAAATCCAAACTCCTTTGTTTGACGGCGCTGTTGAGTCGTTTTTTGCCTCTTCGCTAAAGCGGAAAGTGTGAATGGAAGCCGATAACACTAAAAAGAGGCAAATCCTTCCAAAGATACGAAGGAAGATGAAGACCGAGGAGAAAACAGGCTAATAAATATATGTGGAAGACGCCGCACCAGAAGGAAAAACACCAGCAACAGCCGACGAGGGAAGCCCTGGTGTGGCGTCAAGGGGTTCCGTGCATCCAAAATCGCCCTTAAATGGTCAGCCCTGATAAAGGGAAGCCACTCGGCACGCGTTCTCTGAACGCAGCTTAAGTTTTAGGACATTTTTCGTGCCGTGTTCCCGCGTGCGTTGTTTGAACACTTCCATCAGATGCGCTCGAGACTGTGTAGCTATAGGCGGATTCACATGGATTACTCTTCCGCCCACGTCATTTTCATTATACAGTACTGCAATCGACTGTTTTCTATTGCTGTAACGCTGGTCTTGTGCCAAAACTAACGCGTTCGCGTTGCATTTGCGCAAAAATGATGTGTTGTTTTAATCAGTCATCTCTTAATAAATATCCAAGTCTGCAGCGTGCATAAAAAAATGCATCAGGGTGATTCAATTTGTCATTTAAATGTGCAAAATGTGACTCCGCTTAAATAGCCTACTTCAAACCGTACATGCCAAAGTAGTGAGTAGAGGAATGACCGCGGATCTTTGCAGAAAAAACTCATTACCTTGACCTTTTCAAAGACACAGTGGCTCTCTAGACCTATCCCAGACATAGTCAGATCTTCTTAAGTCAATTCTGGCGTTGCAATTTCAGTGGAAACACGGATTTATCCGAGTCGTGACTGCTATAGTGAGTAATATGTGCGCGTTGGCTGCGTCAGGAGATGCAGTCGCTGTGCGGTGCAGACAGAAGGGGGAGAATCGTGACTGACTGGAGACGTCCGTAAATGATGCGACCACCAAATAAAATCCTCATAATGGTGGCATCTGGGAATTTTTTTAACACCTGTTACATCTCAAGCCATGTCTTTTTTTTTTTTGCCTAGCCACCTCAACCTCCCCTTGCACCACGAAGGCGCAAGAAGAATATCAGTGATTAAGGGGAAGGGAGGGGGGGAGATCTTGGTTCGGGATGAATTTAGACTGGGGAGGGAGAGAGGGAGGGAGTGAGAGGGGGGTGTCCAGATATAGATCGTGACCCTCCCACTTCGGATAGTTTCTTGCATAGTTCCAAGAAAAGCCACTCTTGAGATTTTTGACAAATGATCGTTTGGATGCAAGACAAGAACTTCACGGGTAAGTCAACTGAAGTCACATTCTGCAGCTGGATTGAGTGTATATGGCCAAAATATGACTGATGAATCACTGAGAACCCCTCCTTGTGCTGTGTTGTCATGTCATTATTAATATTTTCACTTATGTTGTGACGGATGTTGATGAATTTGCAAAATGTCGTTGTTGTAAAGTTGGATGTAGAACATTTATGTAACGTTCTTCTGATGCCAATAGATTAGTTCCGCACTATAGTTTTGTTTTGTTTTGTTGTGCCTGCAAGCGATGTCAGATGTCATGTATAGAATTTGTTATGTTCTGCTGAGAGTTTAGAGACCCCCGTGTCCTCACTGAGTGGTATCAGCCAGTGAACTCTCTGTGGTCATGCAATCAGAAGCCTGTCATGTTGTTGTGTCGTGCTGGCGATGTGCTGCTTTGTTTTACATGCACGCTAGGAACAGACGCCTCCAAAGTGCTGCGTTTCAAAACGACCCCACATCTCTGTAATGAATGAAAATGCAACGATGCACTTGCACGCCACCCCGACACGGTGTGTGACTGCGAGAGACGTAGCGACCCGTTTTGAAACGAACTCAATAAGCGAAAAAAAATGAATTATTTATATATATGTATATACAAATATAAGACTTAATAATGTTGTTTTACATGGATTATTTCTGGTCACTTGCGCCAACTAGGATACAATTTGGTTTCCCCTTGCTTTCTTTCTTTCTTTCTATCTTTCTTTCTGTTTTATTTTTCTTTTTTTCAAAAAGGGGGGTCCCTATATGAGCAAGAAACCGATTGGTGGATGACGATTTTTTGTTTGCGCCAATAAGATCTCTCGCTGCTCTCTATTTATTGCGAGCAGATTACAGACTGCTCTCTCCTCACCAAGAGCGCTTCATCTGCTCAGTTCTCCACTATACGGCATCAGGAACCAGAGGATATATTCCATACAAGGCGAATGCTCGCTGTATCATATGTGTGTCTTTGTTTAGATGCCATTATCGCAGCGCACGGGCGACGAGAAAAGACAGCGAAAATAAACTACAAGGGAAGGAGTGAATTCAGCACCGCGGACAGCGCTCGCACGCACAATACAGGCATTTGGATGCTGGCTGCTCTCAAAGCTTCCCATGCTCGTAGAATGTGAATGAGTTGGATACAGTTCAGCCACGGAAAAGGGCTTCGCTGTCTCGCTTTTCCCGATGTCTGGACACAATAGGACTGGGGAAACCAGAGCCATGCACAAGCCACCTGGATGTCACTGTTTGATGTCACGGACTTCAGACTGCGATTTGTCTTTCGCGAATCTTTTTGCGGTCTGGGCTTGCTGTTCATAAGTATCTAGCTGGGAAGCCCTTACCCCAAAAAGCATTTGCGGAAGGCGCATTCACCGAATGATGCTCCATACGCTGCGTGGAATTAATGCTTGCATTATTATCACTAATATTATTATCATTACTAATATTATTATCACATTATTGCTGTATTTATTTTATACAAACACTTTGTTAATTTTTTTTTCAACATGTAATCACTGTATTGCGGCTCAAATGTAAAAGCCGAACTTCTCTCCCACTTGCGTCCCCAAAGTCTAACCTCCCTCCCTACCGAGAGTTATCTGGCGCCTCGATGCCAGAATATTTGCTGCCCTTATTAAGATTGCAAAAAGTCACCCAAACAAATCCACAGCTCCACCAACGAGACTCCCAGTTTGCACGTGGGGGAAAAAACACAGTGGTCCATTCGGGGCACCTCGTTAAGCCAAACAATGTTGAAATGACCCCACCCTGTTCGCAATAACATATAAGCTCTATAAACCTGCAGGACGCACACAGGTTTAAAATTAAAATATCAACCCATTGACAAAGTGCCAGTGTGTGTGTGTGCGTGTGTGTGTGCGTGTGTGTGTGTGTGTGTGTGTGTGTGTGTGTGTATGAGAACACGTCACCGTAAGGTGCCCAAAGACAACAAGGTTTCACCCAACCTCTTCGCTTTCTTTTATTTAATCTCTCTCCTTCCACACACACACACACACACACACACACACACACACACACTCGTTCTCTCTCTCACACACACGCTACCTCGATGAAATATGACACACCTACGCACACCCAGGACATGTGGACACATCGGGCGATAAAGTTTTTGTGCCATGCAGATAGCGAGTCCATTGAGAAATTCTCAACAGCTGAGAAGTGACGTGATCTGTGTCACTACAATCTTCAAGTCAGGTCCCCCAAGTACCTCGTAAGTCATTACGGTGACACTCACCTGTCCCTTGTCCTATATATGCGAGAGGAAGTGCAAATACGAATGCCCCCATTATATGCTACAGTATTTAGAAAAAGGCTCCAAAGTCCCTTAGTGACGACAACCCCAAATTCCTTCAGGTCAGACTAACATTAATTCTGTCTCATCCGTGTGTGTGTGTGTGTGTGTGTGTGTGTGTGTGTGTGTGTGTGTGTGTGTGTGTGTGTGTGTGTGTGTTCCTTCACACATTATTGCACTGTAACAAAGATCGATTATTTGGCTATGAAACTAGAGCAATTAAAACATCGAGACGAGCTCCACTTGATAAGGGTTAGAAAATGTGAGTAAACTGTATGGAGTCTAATATATTTTGCCCTATACGTTGCCTTTTCAATTAAAAAAAAAAAGTTGTACATATTCAATAAAACAAGTAGTGGCAAAGCTTTACAGCATGCTTATGCAATCTAAACTGTAATATCTAATAAGACAAGAGCTTGTTTTTGGGGTATTTCTATAAATTGGACGCTCACGAAAGCGGCGAAGTGAGGAGCGGAGAAGGAAGCTTGATTTACAGGTGTTCAGATCTAAAGAAACGTGCAGTCTGGTGACCCAATAAAGTTATGTCATTATAACATATTTGCCTGTAGCAATTCAAGACAAAATGTGGTTAAAAGTGTTATAATATTGCAAAAATACTATGAAGGGGAAGCGTCTACACTGTAAACAATGTATGAACAATTAGTCATGACACCATATGTTTTTAATTCATTGTAACTTATTAAACTAAGTTAATCTTGTTCTAACTTAATTTTTATAAGTTGTGCAAGATGTTTTAAGTTCGTGAAATATCATATAAGTTTAAGGGACTCATAAGGTTAACGTGACTCAGCTTAAAAATGTAAGGCAACCAGGATTTTTTTAACAGTGTACGTCAAGTACGAGCACCGTGAAAATGTGTCCTTATTTTAATAAAATTGCATCTTTTTTTCATCAATTTAATTTCTGCAAATATATTTCACGTCTTTTCTTCTCGTCTTCGGCACGAATAACTGCAGTGTGGTGAAAAATTAAATAAACTATTCTAAACTAAAAAAAAAATAGGCCAGCAATTATTCTTAACCTTTAAAGTTTACTAGTGAAATTTTATACAGGATTTATTTACGTGTATGACTTCTTGTAGCGTCCAATGCCATAAATGAAACTTTCCGTGACGTGCGTAAGTAACTTCCGTTGGTTTCTTCGGATTTAACATGAATAAATCATTTTCTCTTGCTTTACGAAGGAAACCTCGTTTGAAAAGTGCACAAGACGTGTTTTATGATTTAATGCCATAATGCAGCTTCGAGGGGCTTGTCCATGGTTTTACTTTTTTCCTCACCTTATCAACTTTCCCACAGTAGTCATTTATCACCAAACATGCTCTGTGCCTTTGTAAAAAGGTGTTACACCGTGTTACACGTTAACCCTGTTACTTATGTACAGTTTTGTGATCTTGTGTTTGTGTGTAAAGCAGGGCGAAACCTCAAGGGAGAAAATACAGGAGCTGAAAAATGATCGGCTCAAGACACCGAACGATCCCGGAGTGCAGGGTGACGTCACTGTCTTCGTAAGTTGATTCTTTACACCTCTTGCGAGAGAGGCCTTCTTTTTACGGCGTGTCTGTCAGTAAACGTTTGAAACCGCCACAGGGACATACTTTTATTGAAGACACGTCAATTTCATGTCAGTATTACAAGGCTACGATCGAAAGGCTTTTCTTTGTTATTATTATTCCTGTCAAACTGTTAACGCTTGTGTGAGGTCAGTCTGTAAACAGCTTGAAAGTCACTAAAGTGGGTGTGGCGGCTTAGTGAGTTTCAGGATCATTACATAGACGTCTTTAAGTGTTAAGTTTAAAGTATTATATGATTTGACATTTAAGGTTACACAGAATTTATTTTCTTGGTCAGTACAGCCTGTCTTTTTCTCCTAAGTGAACATAATCAATTATTATTGTTTGTATTTTATAAATTCATGCTAAATATAATGTAAAATGTTGTTATAACAAATAGTAGTGCAACGATATTCCTACTGGTATAAATGCATTTGCTACGTGCAGAGAAATTCAAGCAAGTACACACACACACACACACATACACACACATTTAAACACCTCAAATCTGTATTCAAATAAGTTATGAACAGAAAAAAAAATAGTTAAATTAAGTTTTATTTATGGCATTGGACGCTACAAGAAGTCATACACGTAAATAAACCCTGTATAAAATCTTACTAGTTAACTTTAAAGTTTAAGAATAATTGCAGGCCTGATTTTTTTTAGTTTAGAGTTGTTTATTTATTTTTTTACCACACTGAATGCAGTTATTCGTGCCAAAGACAAGAAGAAAAGACGTGATATATATTTGTAGAAATTAAATTTATGGAAAAAAAGATGCTATTTTATTAAAATAAGGAAACATTTTCACGGTGCTCGTACTTGACGTACACTGTGAAAAAAATCCAGAATTTTTTTTTTCTTATGTAAGACAGAGTAGCTTCCACTGCTAAGTCATTAGTGTACATTACTTGCATGGCAAAATGAGCACTAAAAGTGTGTGAAGCATCATGTTGAGCTAAATATAAAATTAATGTTTGTATGGGGGAAATCTGACATTTGTTTTGACTTTTCAATTGTTTTAGTTTTCTGCGTAGTTAGAGATCTCAACGCATGAGTTGCAGGAGTATTTAGAGAGTTTGGTGCATTGAAGTTTAATTTAGAATCAAGTACAAAATGTCAATGATCATTTTGGTTAACTGTTATATATATATATATATATATATATATATATATATATATATATATATATATATATATATATATATATATATATATTTATAATGTATCATTAAATATTTACCACTGACAGACTGAGAGATGGTATTAAAACAGGCTGGATAGTATGGAAAACGCCAAAAGATATATACTGTATATATGTATGCATGGTATGTATGTATATGAAGCTTTTTTCTGTATTTCTTTAATTTTTTTAACAATATAGTTTGATTAAGTTTTTAAACGATGTTGAACTTCCAAACAGCAGATTTTTTTACAAGACAGTGTAAAAAAGAATAGAGACAGAAATAATTTTAATACTGATTTGGTAGGGAATAGCTACAAATCACAAAACTACTGTGTACATTAGCTGTGCTTATAAAACACATTTAATTGACATTAAATTAAATTATATTTTAAGTGAGGAGAAACATGAACTTTGACATCGACTGCAACAGGCTGTTTTCAATTAACAATCACTTCAAATGTTAGATTTGACCCCTTAAAAATAAATATTTTTGTCATAACATCTAGAAAAAAATATATATAGGGTTTTTTTTCCAACCAAAGATTTAAGATACGTTCAGATCATGTACATGCACAACATGTACTGGTAGGTACTTTTTTTAGAGAGACTTCACTCATGGCTTGATGTGTTTTCATGCGCCTCTTCTTTTAAATACTGATTTCAAACACACATTTATTAAAAAACATTTATGGTTTTTAATAAATGAGCTATATAATTATTATTCGATTAACCTGGAAAGCAAAATGTATAACCCAGCATTCTTTAGTTTCAGCTCTGAGAAAATACTTTATTGTCTTGTGATACAATCATAGCAAACTTATACTTGCATTTATTATTTTTTTAAAACAAATATATTTTGGTTTAGCTCTGTATTTACACTTTTGAGTTTTTTTTTTATAATCTCTGGTCGAAATTCTTGATTTACTATATATAATCACACACAATCCCAATCCAAATCAGGCTTTAAAACCTAAAACAATTGAAAATCATTACAAACAAATCATTTGTAACTTATATACTCATGTTAAAGACACTCAAAATGAAAAATCTTTCTCGAGCACTTTGCTTTTACATATTGTTCTCATGAATTAAACTGTTTAATTTCATCTCCTCATGCACATGTCTTCATATTGTGTCACCAAATTGCATTTAATTGTTTTTATCCTCTGAAAGTGTTTGCTAAATTACATTTAAATTCGAAATCTGAAATGTTACGAATCCACGGGAACCCGAAGCCATAATGAATAACAAATAAGACTTATAGAAAGAGGATTGTTCCCATATGTGGTCCCCAGTCCCTTTTTCCCCTCTCTTTTCACACATTCCCTCTTTCCATACATGGATGAGTCAGGGAAGGTGCGAGGGATGAGTCAGATCCGGCTGGAATTTTTAGGAAAGGGGAGTGTTCGAATGTACCTAAAAGGGTGGTCCCGTCACGACCTCTCTGTCGCAGAAATATCCATTCATGCTTTCACTCGGAATGAATGCACTTTATTCATTAGCATGCAAAGGTAGTTGATGTTTGTGTATACAGGATAACTATATAGCTGTTGTATTTTACACATGTATAAAATGTTATATTTGGTAAAATACATATATTTGAATGTGACTGATGTTTTTCAACAGACTTGTTCTGTATGAACAGCCTGAAAAACATTCAAATATAAGCTTACATGTGTTAAAACTGAGCTTTTTTTAAAACCTTACTATGATTAAACCTATAGTTAGTCAAAACACATGCATTTAAAGATGAATTTGACTTGAATTAACTCTAAAATCAAACAAAAATGACTTTGCTTTAAAAACATAAGCCTGTATCTAGATTATTTTCTGTAAAAAAGAAATAAAATGATCAAATTGCACAGCCACAGTCATTAGGTTTTCATTTACTTTAGGCCACTTTGTTTTAAAACAAGGTCAGATTGAATATTTCAATAAAATACATTAATTTAAACACTTTTTCAGAATAAAAAACTAAAAATAAAAATAGATCTCAAGTATTTTTAGTAGTATGTCACAAGCAACCAAATATATTTAAACAAACTGCTTAAATGAAATGTATGAAGTATGAATTTAGTTGAATTTAGTCTAAAATAATAATATCAACATAAACAATACTCGTTTTTAAGCATTAAAACAAATGGACACTGCAGATTGTGTGCGAGTGTGGGTGGGTGTGTATTTTTGCACGCATATCTGCACATTTTGTGGAATTTCTTGGTCATTTTACGTGTCTTCTTGTAGAAAATCCGCTGCTGACTGAACGTCAAAGCAAAAAGCAGGGATGTGAATCTGAACTGACTGCACTCCTCATGAAAAGATAAAGACAGCTGAGCGAAACGGAAAGCTGATGGAGGAAAAAGCGGGAGTTGACCAATAAACGAGGTATCAACCGACACCTATTTATGCCCAAATACATCTATAGTGAATTGTGGGAGTGATGCACGCTTGAATCAGTTGTAATGCAAAACACACTTTCTGTATCATGACATCCATTCACACTTTAGCCCTCGCTGAAGGGTGAAACTCAGCAACTTGCAAATCTTGACTGATCCAATGTGTGGTTCAAGAAACAGATTTGCAAATATGGATTAAGCTATAGTTAATGCTAAAAATCCGGGAAGCATTTTGGTGCATAGAATACAACAAATGATAAGAAAAAGGTTTTTGTTTTTGAGTAAACACTGTACTGAGTCTGGTTACATTTTAAGTTGAGTCGAGCTAACATTATGAGTTGTTTTAACTTAAATTACATGAAACTGATTTAAAACCGATCGTAGAATTTAAAAACATATTTTAATAAGTTAGAGCTGGCATAAAAACATATATTGACATGACTTGTTTTTACAATTATCCAAAAATATTGATTTTTAAGCACAAATTCAGCTGAAATATCTTCAAAAATGTGAAAAAAATGTATGTTTTAAAATACAAATAAAAAGTAAATAAAGGTTTTATTCATACCACTGCTGTTCATACTGTATATATACAGATATACAGTTGAAGTCAGAATAATTTGAATTTTTTTTTCTTTTTTAAATATTTTCCAAATGATGTTTAACAGAGCAAGGAAATTTTCACAGCATGTCTGATAATAATTTTTAATCTGGAGAAAATCTTATTTGTTTTATTTCAGCAAGATTAAAAGCAGTTTTTAATTGTTTTTAAAAACCTTTTAAGGTCAAAATTATTAGCCCCTTTGAGCTAACTTTTTCTTCGATAGTCTACAGAACAAACCATCATCATACAATAACTTGCCTACTTCCTCTAACCTGCCTAGTTAACCTAATTAACCTAGTTAAGCCTTTAAATGTCACTTTCATCTGTATAGAAGTGTCTTGAAAAAATGACTAGTCAAATATTATTAACTGTCATCATGGCAAAGATAAAATAAATCAGTTATTAGAAATGAGTTATTAAAACTATTATGTTTAGAAATGTGCTGAAAAAAATCTTCACTCCGTTAAACAGAAAATGAGAAAAAAATATATAAATAGGAGACGAAAAATTCTAAATAATTCAGACTTCAACTGTATTTATATATATTTATAATCTTTAAAATAATATAAACGAGGGGTTTCATAGTGATGTGGTGACATATAAGTAGCTGACAGTTATTATGTTATAATATATTTATATTTACATTAACGCAGTCTTGCTGACTGTTTCTGACTATATAAACAGTTTATTTTCTAAATTTGCATTTATCAGTATAATCAGCACAAACAAATATTGGCTGAAAGAATCAGTAACTGTAATAAAACTTAAATAATAATAATCTAAAAAATGTATAATAATGTAAAAACTGAAAAGAATACAATGTAATGTTTTTAAACAAGCTTCACTTTTAACTGACCTTAAAATACAGTATGTATCTTATCTTGTAATACAAAAATCTAAGAGTTGATACAAAAACAAACAACTAATATTATAAACTAATGTTAAAATATAATAATAAAATAAAATAATAGAAAATACTAATAAAAATATAGACCAAATGATATAGCTTTCTACTAATAATATGTAAGTTGTTGATAAAAACATGTAAACCGTGAAAGTATGCATATGTACGTTTGTATTAGCTAAAGTGTGTGTAAATATGCACAGAATATGTGTGCATTATTTGCGTGATTATATAGGCACATGTGGAGATTTATTTGTGTATGTACATTATGGAGCACATGGTTAAGGGGTTGTGAAACGTATGAGAGAGACGGAGGACAGACGAGCCAAAGACATATACACTATTATATAGTGCAAAATATAAGAATGCAGACAGTTTAAAGTAAATGAGTTATTTTTTGACTTACTACTTTGTCTAATTAAAACATTTTTAAATAATTTATCTACATACATTTGATGCTAATTTTGTATTTAAGGGTTTGTTGATAATGACATACAGAAATAAATACATACTTATTATATTAAAGCAGTCTTGCTGACAAGAAAAATGACTCTTTATATAAATGTATAGCTATTATGTATTTTATATATATATATATATATATATATATATATATATATATATATATATATATATATATATATATATATATATATATATACATTCTTAAAAACAACAACATTTACTGAACAAATTGCTTAGAAATACTATATTTGTTGTTTTTCTATGTCTAATTTTGAGCACTACAACGGCACAGAAACAAAAGTGCCCATAAAAGATGAATTTTATTTTGTATTAAGTGGTTTCTTTTTGATTATAGGAGTATTATATTATTGATATATAATCTGTTGTTGTCAGTTGGCATTTCTGTGTGGAGTTTGCATGTTCTCCCTACGTTTGCGTGGGTTTCCTCCACAGTCCAAAGACATGCGGTAGAGGTATATTGAGTAGGCTAAAGTGTCCGTAGTGTATGAGTGTGTGTGGATGTTTCCCAGGGATGGGTTGCAGCTGGAAGGGCATCCGCTGCGTAAAAAAACGTGCTGGATAAGTTGGCGGTTCATTCCACTGTGGCGACACCGGATTAATAAGGGGACTAAGCCGAGAAGAAAATGAATGAATCTGTAGTTGATTAAAAAAAAAACTGAAATCTACAGAAACAAGTGAACTAATCTGAACTGTCTGTCAGTTTCACTTGAGATGTTGAGAATTTGTGCACATTTTAAGCTTTCGCACAAGTATTTAGATGATTGCATGAGTCCTTTTTTTTTTTCCTTTAATTATTTTATTTTTTGTGTGTGCTTTGTGTTTCTATGAAATGTAATGCCGGCAAAACACTGTATAAAGATATTAAACATAACCTCAGACAGTCACAAGCCACTTGATACTCTAGAAAACTCTAGAACTTTAGGGTTTTATATATAAAATACATGTTATACAAATATGCATTTACACATATAGATACATATATCTTTACATATAGATTTGGACAAAGATTTACAGGTTTCAGGATGCTGTTTAAACGCTGTAGCGTTAAATGTCATGCATCTGTGTTTAATTTGATATCGATAACCCATAAATGGATATATTTTGTGTAATATGTCAAATATCTGCCCAGTCTCTTTGTTTTTATGTATTCAGAGAATCATGGGGGTCTTAGGAAACATACTTGAGCATATTTGACATCATCTGTCATGAGCAGATTTTCACTGTGCAGTCCAAATCTCTCTCTGAGTGAGTGTGTGTGCGTGTGTGTGTGTGTCTGTATCCTGTGCTCACATATAACTGTGAGATGTGTACTTGTGTGATATGTTTGTGTACCCACAGAAAACGCACTGGGGATGTGTGTAATAGTTAGAATGTTTTAATCGTGTTCACAAATGTGTGTGTGTGCATGAGTCTGAGAATGCAACATCAGATGTGTGTGTTTTGTCAGTATAGAGAGTGTGTATGTGTGTGTTTTGAGTTTGTGTATCTGCAAAAATGTATTTGAAAGTGTGTACATTTTCGTAAATAGTTTAAGTTGTGAGAGTGTGTGAAACGTAGCATTTTGGAGTGTGTGTGTTAAATGTGAAGATACGCCATTCAAATGTACTGTGAGCCCCTATATGTTCCAGAATAAGGAATGTGCATGTGTGTGAGTGTGTGTTAAAGTGTGCCAGAATGCATCATGTCTTTACTTTAATCAAATTGATTGTGTGTATTACTTCTGTAAATGTTACACAATAAGAATATATCACACACACACACACACACACATTAATGTGCACATTATTATGAATGCACAGGTGTGTGTATGTGTTAGTGTGAGTTAAATGCTTTGCATTATTATTTTACAATGTGTGTGCGTTTGCAAAATCTTGTACGTACTGTAAGAGCATGTGCACAGACATATGTATAGATGTGTGTGGGTGTTTGTGTGTGTGTGTTTGACATGTTGTGTTGTTTGACATGTAAAATGTTTGCATATGAAAAAACACCAAATGTGTGTGTAAGCGTGTATCAGAAAGCTTTGCATCACAAAGCATATGTGTGTGCGGGCTTGTGTTGGAAAATGTTGCATATATGAACCCACGCATTAGTGTGTGTGTGTCTAAAGTACTGTACTAAATGGTTTGTATTACTATTTTACAGTGTGTTTGTGTGTGTTTGCAAAACTCTTGCACGCACTGTAAGAGCAGTAATATATGCATAGATGTGTGTGTTTGTGTATATGCATGTGTTTGTGCGTGTGTGTGTTAGAATATTTGTGTAAAGTATGTCCATTTTTGGTGTTTTTATGACGTGTGTGATGTTTGCATATGAAAAAATACTGAATGTGTGTGTGTGTGTGTATCAGAAAGCATTGCATCACGAAGCCTCCCTATGTGTGTGTTGGAAAATGTTACGTATATGAGCGTACGTATGAGTGTGTGTGTGTCTAAAGTACTGTACTAAATAGTTTGTATTATTATTTGACTGTGTGTTTGTGTGTGTTTCTTGTATGTACTAGATTGTGTGCATGTGTGTGTGTTAGCGTAAAGAATGTCCATTTTTGGTGTTTTTATGACGTGTGTGATGTTTGCATATGAAAAAATACTGAATGTGTGTGTGTGTGTGTATCAGAAAGCATTGCATCACGAAGCCTCCCTATGTGTGTGTTGGAAAATGTTACGTATATGAGCGTACGTATGAGTGTGTGTGTGTCTAAAGTACTGTACTAAATAGTTTGTATTATTATTTGACTGTGTGTTTGTGTGTGTTTCTTGTATGTACTAGATTGTGTGCATGTGTGTGTGTTAGCGTAAAGAATGTCCATTTTTGGTGTTTTTATGACGTGTGTGATGTTTGCATATGAAAAAATACTGAATGCGTGTGTGAGTGTGTATCAGAAAGCCTTGCATCACGAAGCCTCCCTATGTGTGTGTTGGAAAATGTTACGTATATGAGCGTACGTATGAGTGTGTGTGTGTCTAAAGGACTGTACTAAATAGTTTGTATTATTATTTGACTGTGTGTTTGTGTGTGTTTCTTGTATGTACTAGATTGTGTGCATGTGTGTGTGTTAGCGTAAAGAATGTCCATTTTTGGTGTTTTTATGACATGTGTGATGTTTGCATATGAAAAAAAACTAAAGTGTGTGTGTGTGTATGTTTGTGTTTGTGTATCATAAAGCTTTACATCACAAAGCCTCTGTGTGTGTGTTTGCGTGCAAAATGCTGTGAAATGAACGTATGTATGAGTGAGTGAGTCTATAGTACTGTATTAAATGCTTTGTATTATTATTTTACTGTGTGTGTGTGTGTGTGTGTTTGCAAAATCTTGTACGTGTTCTAAGAGCATGTGTGCAGATAAATGTACAGATATGTGTGTTTGTGTGTATGTGTGTAAGAAAACGTGTGTAAAGCATGTCAATTTTTGGTGTTTTTTATGACCTGTGATGTTTACATATAAAAAACCCTGATATGTGTGTGTGCGTGTGTATTATCTCTCTCTGTGTATGTTTGTGTGTAAAATGTTGTGAATATGAACATATGTATGAGTGTTTAAAGTACTGTATTAAATGCTTTGCATTATTATTGTACTGTGTGTGTGTGTGCGTGCATGTGTGTGTGTGTTTGCAAAATCTTATACGTACTCTAAGAGCATGTGCACAGATATATGAATAGATTTGTGTGTTTGTGTAAGAAGATGTGTGTAAAGTGTGTCCATTTCTTTGTTTCATGACATGTGTGATGCTTGCTTATAAAAAAAACCTAATGTGTGCGCTTGTGTGTGTCAGAAAGCTTTGTATCGCATCTGTGTGTGCTTGTGTTGCAAAATGCTACATATATGAGCGTACGTATGAGTGTGTGTGTGTCTAAAGTACTGTACTAAATAGTTTGTATTATTATTTGACGGTGTGTTTGTGTGTGTTTGCAAAACTCTTGTATGTACTTGATGTGTGTGTTTGTTTGCATGTGTGTGTGTTAGAGTAAAGAATGTCCATTGTTGGTGTTTTTTATGACATGTGTGATGTTTGCATATAAAAAAAAAACTAAAGTTTGTGTGTGTGTGTGTGTATGTTTGTGTTTGTGTAACATAAAGCTTTACATCACAAAGCCTCTGTGTGTGTGTTTGTGTGCAAAATGCTGTGAAATGAACGTACGTATGAGTGAGTGAGTACTGTATTAAATGCTTTGTATTATTATTTTACTGTGTGTGTGTGTGTGTGTGTGTGTGTGTGTGTTTGCAAAATCTTGTAAGTGTTTTAAGAGCATGTGTGCAGATAAATGTACAGATGTGTGTTTGTGTGTATGTGCGTAAGAAAACGTGTGTAAAGCATGTCTATTTTTGGTGTTTTTTATGACGTGTAATGTTTGCATATAAAAAATACCTGATGTGTGTGTGTGCGTGTGTATTAGAAAGCATTACATCATCACAAAATCTGTGTGTGTGTGTGTGTCAAATGTTGTGAATATGAACATATGTATGAGTGTTTAAAGTACTGTATTAAATGCTTTGTATTATTATTTTACTGTGTGTGTGTGTGTGTGTGTGTGCGTGTGTGCGTGCGTGTGTGTGTTTGCAAAATGTAAAGTACTGTATTAAATGCTTTGTATTATTATTTTACTGTGTGTGTGTGTGTGTTGCGTGCGTATGTACGTGCTCTAAGAGCATGTGCGCAGATATATGAATAGATTTGTGTGTTTGTGTGTAAGAAGATGTGTGTAAAGTTTGTCCATTTCTGTGTTTCATGACATGTGTGATGCTTGCTTATAAAAAACCTAATGTGTGTGCACATGTGTATTAGAAAGCTTTGTAT